GAGCACGAGAACCCGCAACCCATATTTATACTGAGGCGTGCCGAGAGCAGCCCCATTTTGAGCGTCAAGCACGGTGATTAGATCGGGAACAGTCGCGACCATCTACACGTTGATACTTTTAGCACGGACTTGGGAGTAAAGGAACATACTCTCACAGTTGGTATTGCACCATCCGCGGTATGTTCTGCATACAGATTCTCGTTCTTGAATGGAATGATGAGTGTTCCGGTGAAGCGCTCCATGGGACAATCAGGATCGTCGTCATCAACATCGTCATCCACGGTTAACGCGGTGATAACGACTTCTCCAATCGTATGACCTTTGTAGACACTGTCACAAATCAATGGTGCTGCGTAACATGAGTTCGAAAAAAAACTGACCGCCTTCTCACATCGGTGATCTTGCCCATGAACAACACTCTTGCAGAGCTGGAGCCACCTACGGCGTCAACAAGAATTGACCCAATCCGAGACAAACTCGATTGTTTGCGAGCCAATGCGATAGCTCGTCCAATGCGCCAGCTTAATGATACTGTGTTCTTGATCATGGCATTATCCACGTAATCAGCCTTCAGAGGGCAGCTGGCCTGTCCTACGTACGTCCTAATGCACACGATGCACCACATAATCATCACGCATAGTACTCGTGACACATATCACCACTCACCCCATTTCAACACATGCCGCGCGTAAGGAAGCATCGACGTCAATGTCACGTTTGGCCTTTGTCATGATCTGTAGACAGTTCGTCGATTTTGACTGAAAACGTGAGAGGGAAAGATACCATAACGTTCCCATCTCCACTGGATATAGCGCTCGGCAGCATCTTGGCTCCAGTGCCGCTGAAGTCGTAGACACTGGCCGTGGTTTGATGCCACTTTCAAAACCGTAAACTTGGAGCACACATCCAAGATCAGAATGATACTGCTCACAGTGGGGTATGCACGGCCCTGTATATAGGTGATGATTTAGACAACGAACCACCTGCTTGTTGCTACATACCATAAAGTCCCCATCTATGCATGGTATATCGGTGTATTTCGTCGATCCCAGAATCATCTACAGCAATGTCAATATTTGTCTTCACTTGACGAATTGAAAAACATACGTTAATCATACCGTTGGAACCCCCGATCTCTATCGCGCAAAGCGCTTCTGGTTTCGCAATCTAGAAGTGTATCGTTAGAGCATTACAATAGTCGGACCAGCGAAGATTACATTACCCCTATCAAGGACCACAACTCCGCGCTAGCCTCTTGATATCTAATGACCAAAACAATCAGGTATCACCTTTCATTTATGCAGCGGAAATACTGACTCGTTGCCAAGTAGTCTCTCAGAGGACACTTCTGGGCTACCCATGCCTCCACCCCATCCAACCAGTGCATTCGACGCAAGTGACGAAAAGTCAACCACTCGCACTGTTTCACCTGACCGTACGAGTTCTCTCAGCTCCAAGAAAGTATGCAAGGGGGACCCGCCACCGCCGCATCCCAGTACATAGCAGCCATCTGCAATCCACTCCAGATCAACCTCGGACAAGAGCCATTCTCTCTTTTCTATCCTAGGCTCGTACTCCAAGATGTCACTCGCAGAACGCATGACCGGCGCCACAACGGGAGAGGCGGCGGCGGATGCTACCATTTGTGGCCGGGAGGCGGTCTCCCCGGTAGAAGCTTCAACGTGCAGAGGATCGTCGACCTCTAGCCAACTTGGACTAGCGACGCCACTCCAGTCTCCGGCGGCCTTGACATAAAAACGGCAACGGCCGCTGGTATAGGCGATAGGAATGACCTCGCTCTCCACTATGGCGACACGGTGCGGATCTGCTCCGGAAGCAATTGCTCGAGCGATAGCCCTGGCTTCAACATCAGCGCGAACTTGTAGGATGGTTCTTGTGGATGTGTCTTCGAAGGAATCAATGATGCCTGATATCTTCAGATCGAGATTGAGTATCAATGGGGAGGAGAAGGTCATTTCTTCATTACCTGGGCAATGGCAGCGCCAACAGCATTCGCGACGTCGAAGTGAGGGAATCTGTGAACCCGGCTGATGCCCGTAAGAACATCTGGAGCAAGGATGGACCCTCCGCCGACCAGGTAGACTGGGATATCTTGGGAAGATGTTTTCATGGCATCAAGGTAGTTCTGGAGCATCTTCTTGATAGCACTTTGAGCGCCTTCGATGATCGACTGCCCAATTCCGGAAACAAGACTTTCGTCTCCAATGTTTGAAGCGCGACCTGCTGCAACAACCACGTCGGTAGCGGTCAGTGTAGAGCCACCAAACACTATAGATTCAGAGGTGATCCGATGGCCAACAGAATTAGGACCAACAGTGACCTTCTTTGTGACTGGGTCCTCTCGGACAACGGAACCCCCACCAAGGCCAATACTAGAGCATAGACAATCAATTTACCATGAATGCTTGACACACTGTCAAAACCAGCACCTGGTAACATGTGGCATGGAGAAGTTCAATAAAACCCCACAGAACTCGTGATGAGCGGCGGCTTGACGAGGGAACCCACTAGGTCTAATGGGTTGTCAAGCAAAATTAGTATGGTTGCTAAAACTTCTACTTTGTTCACGAACAGCAACATTCCTATGTCTGTCTAGATAAGACAACAGTGAGCCTGTTGCCACGAAGCTGAAGGTTGTCTCAGTGACACACCGTTGTGCCACCAATATCAACTACCAGTGCGGATTGCTTTGAGATGCCTGACTCCAGTGCGGCCAAGAACGCGGCGCCGCGCATGGAATTCGTTGGGCCGGACGAACTTTGAGGAACATCATTAATTGATTATGATAACCCTTGTCATCGAGACCTCTTCGAGAGAAACACGCACAAGGTTCGAATAGGAAGACGCGCAGCTTGTGCGCAGCTGAGCAAGGTGCCATCATTGCTCGTGATGAAAACGGAGCACTTCAGCTCGAGTGCCTTGGCTGCCTTCTCGAACCCTATTACCGTCTTCTTGGCGTATCGCAATAATGCAGCATTCAGGATAGATGCGTTTTCACGCTCCAGCAGCCCGATGGCCGCAACGTCCTTGGAGCATACGACGTCCATTCCAGGAATGCGCTTGCGTACAATCGCTGCGACTGTTTCCTCCTGTTGGATCTCAAAGTCGATGGGGGCGAACACCGAGGAGACGACGACTGCATGTATGCCCTGGAAATCATCTCAGCTGCATCCAACGTGCCCATCATCGTTTCCGTACCTGGCGGTTGATTTCGTCGCAGGCGGATTCGACTTGCGCAAGGACAACAGAAGCAATCTCACTTCCGTCAATTTGCAGGCCTCCTGAGAGTAGGAAGTGGGGACCTTCGAGTACTGCGGGAAGTGGACGTCAGTATAGGACGTCATCGCACGTTCCACAGCAGCAACTCACGATCTCGCAGCTCGTGCGGAAAGCCTACGAATGGTGGTGTTCCATGCGTGAAAGGGCCGCACAGGCGAATGACCGCGACTCTGTCCAAACGCCGAGGATCTCTTTCTACCAATGCATTTACAAAGTGCTAGGATGTACGCGAATCAGGACGCAAGTTGGTGCGTGTACGAAGCGAATCTTACTGTCGTGCCGATACAGAGGGCTTGAATGTTGGACTTGCTCTGAGCTCGTGTCAACACGGACTCGATGGCGTTTTGGATTCCCAAAGTAACATCCGCTGTAGTGAGGTGTTTTGCTGATGCAAGAACCTGCCCTCTTCGCGAACCCTCTGACAGATCGAGGAGAACTGCATCGCTGGTGAACGTTTCTCGAGTCCGCGGAGTGATGCAAATTCAAATCAGGTACGCACGTATTTGTTCCTCCTACGTCAACACCTAAGCGTAGGATGGGGTGTACTGAACTCATTTATGGTCGAAGGATTGCTGGTATCGTCTTAGACAGTCAAAAGGTAGGTGGTTATGATAAGGATAACCAAGATGGGGACCGAAGCAACCGTGGTGCTTTGGTACAACCAAATTAGCAGATAAGCGAAATCGAGGTTCGATTCAGATATCGAGCGCTACTAGTAGTAGGAGCTATAAGTAGTCGTGTTACTTCAACAATAGCTTGGACGATTGCGCGTGACCAGGTCATCGAACCCGCCTGCATAAAGATATTGAGTGATCATTGTAATCGTATCGGTCAACTGCACCAGGTATACCGAAAGAAAGAAGAACAGTGAGCTCACCAACGACTGAGATAAACGGTTCACGTGAATATCAGATGACTGCTCGTAGAACTTGCTATTATTGGTTCGGACATTCCTCGGGTGCAGCACTCACAATTCGGGTCTTACAGCTACTAGCTTTCATGTCCATGCAGACTAGTTTTTTTTCCATCTTACCGCTTCTAGATTCACCTGTGGACTATTAACAAAAGGGCTCCGCTTATTACGATACTTGGTCGGGCAAAATACGCATTGAGGGCGCTCTGCCTGGATATCGTGTCACCGCCGCATGCGCCCAAACAGCAGTAGGTCATTGTCTGTCCACATCTCGTAGCTGCTTTATGCACATGATCTTGTTGGCGGAAGCAGCGAACTTCCGAGTCCTGGGGCGAACAGTAGACCCTGTTGTTTGTCTAGATCCACAAGTAAATATAGAAATGGAATCTGGCCCACCGATATGAAAGGGGAGGGCATCGATAGACGTGCAAACAGCGACGAGGAACTCTCAGCTACTACATAACGGTGTCATCTACATTCATTTTAGGATGAACGGCGGAGTAAAGGGGGACAATCACAGCTAACCAAATATTGTGATTAAGTCGATGCTGCAGCCTGTGATGGATCAGAGAATTGGATTGATATCAGTCGATGCTGATTCGGGTGAAGCACAAGCACTTAGCAGGTTGACCCGAAATCTCTTTGGAGGCCATCGCGAAGCTTAACCGAAAACTACGAGTAACGCCGACAGATCAATTAAATCACGAAATCAGAACCGAGTAAAGACCCGTGAGATATATATTCCAATTCAATACAAGTTAGTTCGATTAGCACATGTTGGTTTTGGCGGCCAAGCCTGCGTCGCGTTTCTTGAGACCAACGCTCATTCATCAAGACATTGCACCATTTTGATCGTCGACGGCCTGCGCAGGCATGGCTAGTCTATCAGATGACGGTCTAGCAGAAGTCCTATCAAACATGCCAGATTTCTCGGCACCAGCCTTTTCTTCCGCAGGCCAACGCAAGTTTCAGCTCCAACTGCTCCTCGATAACAAGGAAAAGCAACTACAGCAGGCCGGAACTCTCGGTCAGCGCGTTCTTGCACAGCAGATAGAGCTTGAAGAGAAGATAAGACAACTCCAGGAATTTGATGCAGAACGTGCAGAAGACGAGGAACTAGATACTGACGCGCGCGAACGCTATCGCGAACTAGCAGAGACCGTCGCTGCTTGGGACGCAGAGAACGCCCAGCTATCTAGTGCTTTTGGCCAAAAAGTGAGTCCTTCAATTCAAAATTCCAGACAAGCGCCTACCGTTGGTCAATGCCACATGCACCCTGCCTCGCCTATGAAATACACAATGCATCATACACTAACGTGTAATCTACTTATTTCTAGCGTCCTCCTACCCAGCAATCATCTCCGACCCTACCGATCAACGATCTTCCTCGAGAGGAGCCCGAGCGCTCCAAAGCCTCAGCTTCATCTGCTGCCCAGTCTCGTCGTGCCAAAAATGCTGCCCATCGAGCAGACGATGTCGGCAAGTTTCTCTCATTCTGTTTGCTTTTGCTTTCACAGCTCACTATTTCTCTAGAATTTGCGTTCGAGATAGGAAGCGGACTGCTTACCGAAGTGCGACGGCTCCAGAGCCTTCTCGGCGAGCGTGACAAGGCCATCCAAGACATGAAGGAGGAGAAAGATGACCTTGAAAAGACCGTAGAGTCTCTACGTACCGCGCTTCGATCGCAAGAACAGAGCTCAGGTCGGTCTTCTAGTATTCCTTTACCTCGTGAAACTTACTTGCCGCAGACAAGTTCAAAGAAGAAAACTGGAACCTCGAAGTTACTCTCCAAGAAGTCCGTACCCAGTATTCAGACTCGCAGTCAACAATCGTGCGCATCGAAGGCGAGCACAAGCGGGTTACGAAACAGCTCAACAACACTCGAGAAGCAGCAGACCAGTACAAAAACGAATTACAGCGTGTCCAAACTGCATACGATGATATGAAAGCTAAGCACGAGACAGACGTGGCACAAGCGCGTAAGCATGCTGCGGGTCTACAGCGCGACAAGTCAGACTTGCAATCCGCGCTGGATGTACTGAGGGCGGAGGTAGAGAAATCAAGCCGTCGCCTCGGTCCACGATTCGGGAGTCCACTCACGCCTGGTGCAAGCCAGGGTAAAGAGTACTCGACCCCTGCTGCAGAGGATGATGATGTCTTTACCACAGCCAGTACCACCAACAGGCGGAAAATGGACAGTTCAGCTGTGTTTCAGCCTGACGCATTCGAGGATCTTGTAGACATTTCCCCTGACCCGTCACCATCACGCCCATTCCATGCGAGCAACCACCCCAATAACGAGATCGAGGCCCTTCAGCAGCGGCTTGCCCACGCCCAGAGGCAGATCAGTACCCTCAAGGGCAGTTTGCATCGCGAGAAGGAGATGCGAATGGAATATAAGCGCAAACTAGAGTCTTCCTCTGGGTATGTACATGCTGAGAACGAGCCTCCAGAAGATGAGACGAATGACGATGACGAGACTGAGACTAAACATCCTCGCCGACTGACGCCATACCGTTCTGGTGGTGGCAGAGCCAGAGGCAGGAGAGGGAGAGGAAGGTCTTCCCTTGTTACCAGGCTCGGCATGGCAGCGCAAAGCCCCAGTACTACATCTGACTACAATGCCTCTCCTCCACCACCCATACCGCTTCTCCCCGACTTCGCCGATGATATTCTTTCCGACGAGGGTAACGCAGAGGGCGAGCCGGAAGAGCAAAACCTTGACCCCTTACCTTCTCCTTCCTCGAAGCGAACAAGCGTTGACGGCATGGACCCAGTGTTCGCAAATGTCCTCCGCAAGTCTGCGTCATACAGCGCGTTCCCAAGCCAATCTAGCCCGCTTCGCCATTCCCTGCTGGCTCGCTCCTCCCCTCGCGGCGTTGGGCGTGGTGGAGCCCCACCACGACGCGCTCGTGGCGGTGCTGCTTTCCAGGAGGCCAGACCGGCGTCCCTTGTTGGGGAGCCTGAGGCTTTATCTGCAGAGCTTGGCATTACGTCTGTTACTGAAGATGTTGAAGTCAAGGTCACCGCTGAAATGGCGTGTCAGACCGACTTCGAGGACGTGACGGTGCTCGTACCCTCGCCCTCTTTCCTAGCGAATGACACGGGTGTACAAGTCGAGCAAGCCCTTGAACCTGTGCCAGCATCTCCCACCACTTCTGAAATGTCGTGCCAGACTGATGAGTTCTTTGTGGTGCATATGGAAACAGCTGTGCAGCACGAGCCTACTTCTCCTATTGCAGCCCGCACAAGCTTCTACCAAATGCAGCCCCCCGATCGCGTTTTCGTCGCACGGAGCTCGATGAGGCGTACGACGCTTACACAGTCTGATTTCTCTCGTTCGTCAGAGGGCATCCCCGGTGAAGCTAACGGCCGGCGGCCCATTCCGGGTGGTTTCTCCTCTGAGGAGGAGAGTGACATCGATGTTGACATGGACGACGGAGCGACGGAGACCGGTGTAGAAACAGATACAGATGTGGACGATTACCACGACGCGCGGGGGAGTCTTGCTACAGAGTCACGGGAGGACTTCCATTCTGTGTTGACGATGACGGACAACGACTTTTCGGAGAGTGATGATGAGAGTGTCAGGGCGCTTGGAAACTCAAGGCGGTCGTCAGTATCATCTACAACACAACATCGGGAGTTACTCCATCGTGACACAGCTACCTACGAGGAGAAGGGTGTTGGTATGGATGACGTTGAAGAGCCGAAGGTCATCGAGGTTATCAAGGAAGTGGAGGTCATTAGGGAGGTGGAAGTCATCAAAGAGGTAGAAGTCATCAAAGAGGTCGAAGTCATCAAAGAGGTGGAAGTCATCAAGGAAGTCGAGGTGCCTGTTGAAGTCATCAGGGAGGTGGAAGTCATCAAAGAGGTCGAGGTGCCTGTTGAAGTTATCAGGGAGGTGGAAGTCATCAAAGAGGTCCCGGTAGAGGTCATCAAGGAGATCGAGATCATCAAGGAGGTTATCAAGGAGGTTCCAATCGAAATCATCAAAGAAGTACCTGTGGAAGTCATCAAGGAGGTCCAACAACCAGTCGAAGTCTTGAAGGCAGTCGAAGTGGCCAAGATGGTAGCCGAGCCCTCTAAGCCAGAGCTGAAGGAAATGTCTGTTCAAACGGATACATTTACTGCTTCACCCGTTATTGCAAGTTGGCAAGACACCTCTGCGTCGTCTGTGACCCCGACTCCCACCCCCGCACCTTCTGTCCCTGTGTCCCCCGCTCTCTTCCGAGTGGGTGCGGCAGTACAACAGTTCCAGTTTGTTCCTGCACCTGCCATTGCAATGCCCGCTCCTCCTTCCCCCTCTCCTATTCGTGACTCTAGTCTCAGTACCACAAGCTTCGGCATCATTCGCTCTGTTACCTCTAATACAGACCATCGACAGTCAGTTGAGTCTACAGTCTCTTCTGGCGCCGACGATGGAACTCGTCGTTCAAGGACCGCCTCTGTTGTGCCCTCTATTGTAGACAAGACTCGACCCCCTATGATGGCCTTGCCGCCACCACCTCGCCAACCGCCTCCGTCCGGCACTATGCCACCACCCCCTTTTATCCCGGAACGGAGAATAGCTACTACGTCATCGACATCGGACGCGCCGCCACCTCGTCCATCCTCCCCCCCACCTCCAGAACTCGTACAGCGCGCCACTACACCGACCTTTGGCACAATGCTATCTGTGCATAGTAGAGGGAGTGCTTATGGTCCAAGGCAGCATGGCTCGAGCATGCCCCCGCCACAATCAAATTTACGGCAGCCGCCATCCACAAGCAGCTTCCGGTCTGCTGCCAATGCTGCGGCGTATGCACAAAACTCGGTTCCACCGTCTGGCTTACCATCATGGGGTGTGCGCGAGCAACAGAGGAGTCAGATGTCGAGCACATCCCTGGCATCGGATAGAAGCGCACTTTCACCACGGTCGTCCATGTCTTCGGACCACAACGTTTTCTTAAACCGCGCACCCGGTGTCAGCGTGCCCATCAACCCTGGCAAGAATGTCGAACAGCCCAACGATAACAGGCATAGTATGTCCACAGACCCTGCTGTCATCCATGCGATTACCCAGACCATGATCGGCGAGTTCTTGTACAAATATACCCGGCGCACCATTGGCAAAGGCTATGGAGAGAAGAGACACAAGCGGTTCTTCTGGGTGCATCCGTATACCAAGACTTTGTACTGGAGCTCTGCTGACCCTGGATCATCAAACGTTTCAGAATCGAGTGCTAAGAGCGGTGAGTGAATTGATGTGATATTCTCTGACGTTGAATTGATGGTTTGTGTGGCCACAGCTTATATCGAAGGTGTTCGCTCTGTTTTAGATCCCAATCCCATGCCTCCTGGTTTATACCAGTACAGCGTCGTGATATCCACAGCTCAGAGAGAAATGAAGATCACTGCGCCTACCAAAGAACGCCATGACATTTGGCTCAATGTCTGTCGTTCTCGTCTTACTTTTGGGTGAACGCTTACATCTGTCTAGGCTTTGAAATACCTGCTTGCTCGTCCCAGCCCTCCGATAACACCATCAGTCAGTCAGAATGAAAATGCGGCCGCTATGAGTCCCATGTCTCAAAGCGCAGAGTTCACAGATGATGATCACCGTCATTTGATTGATACCAGTCCCAAAAGTCAACGAAGTGGCCACAGCAGCCAGAACGGTGGTACCTTCAACACCACGCCGCGGGGCAGCCGGAGTAGATCACAGATCTCTGTTCGAGGGTCTGTAGGTAAAAGGTCTGGAACGCCGGCCGCAGAATACCTCCGATGGGCAGCGCCCGAGAGCCCTTACAGCCCTGCGAAGTCCTTCGAACGAGTAATGGGTCATGGCCATGACGACGACGACCTTGAGTTTGAACTCCATGGTCAATCTCAGTCGGACGACGGGTTCGAAGGCTTGGAAAATGTGCGCGCCTGTTGTGATGGACGTCATACTGTCGGTCACTCTGGTCATCACCACCACACCCACAATGGTGACCACCTCCTTGAAGTTGGCGCTCCCGCACGGCCTGTGTCTCCTGCGTGGTCGCTTCGATCACGAACGGGGAGCACACACTCTCATGATGCAGGCGGCTTGTTTTCATGGGGCCGAGGGGACGATGGGAAGCTTCGCTTTGGCTCTCGTCGATCTACAAAGACTGTACCTAACGCTGTTGGTGATCGGTAGTCGGGCGAACAGCGCCCGTTTTCTCGCTCTTGCCTTGTCTATCTTTGCTTTTCGCGCACCATGTCTCGCTTTCTCGCAGCCTATCCTCCCTGATAATGGTCTTCGCTATATCATGATATAAATCCCTTATATTGTCACTTTTTTTCGTTCGTGTATGCATTATTTCATTTTTTTGCAAAGTTACCCAATACTCCTGAGAACCGAACCGCTCCTTGTATCTCACCGGAACGCTATCTAACATACCACACTCCTTTATTCAATTCAATATGATTCATCATTCACTGAGTAAGTTCAAATGATTAAACGCTCCGTGCTTATATATGTTAGATATCTGGTCCGTGGCTGCTCAAACCACTACTTCGTCGACTTTAGATCGGTGTATACAAAAACCCTGGCATGTAGTGAGTTTGTGTACGAAGAGCGAAAAGTTGGAAGTAAATGCAACGTACTGGTGTCACCCATTCTCTATTGCAGCTGCAGCATACGCCAGCCCAGTCATAGTTGCCGAGCTTAGCACTGCATTTCGGGCAAATAATCTTCCCTGCTAATTGGCCACTCTCTAAAAAAGGTTCCATCCATTTCATCTGTAAGGTCATGATTGGTTGTGGATCGACGACAGACAAAGAAACACTTACCGGTTCGACAAAATACCCAGAACACTTGGGGTTCATGAGGATCGGTGGACTGACCACCGATTTTATCCCCGTCATACTCAACGACGGAGGCGTGCGCAGCGCCGCGAGTTTCGGATGAGAATGCAGCTCAGCTGCCAGGTCCAACGGAGGCTGCGGCGGTCCCCCGGTCTTCGATGTATCCTGGCTATCTTGTACAGGCGACAGCACACGCACCGTCTCGGATTGTGTGGCCGTCCCTGTTGATGGGCCTTCATCTGTGGCGACAGATGCATCGAGTACATCCGATAGGTCCTTCCCAAGGCCTTCCATTGACATTGAGAGTGATCGCGAGGACTTCACGTCAACTCTAAGGGGAGGCAAATCACCCGTGTGCCCATTCTTGAGATCATCTGACTCGTGATCATCCTCCGTGTCGAGTGCTGACATTGAGAGTGCTGACATTGAAAGCGATGACATTGAGAACGATTCCATCAGCGCCCGCGCGCCGAGGCTCATGGACGGTCGCCGCGAGGACGTGCCGCGGTCATTCGCAGACGGGCGCCTCGACGTGGCAGGGGATAGTGAGGGCAGAGCGGGAGTCGGTGGGCCTAGTTGCCCGTGATCGAGCATGTGCTCGCGGGTCGCTAGCTCTTGCCTACGGAAGGTGGAGTGTATGGATTGGCACTAGGAACGTGTCATGATCTGATGACTTACCTGCACATCTTGCATCGTATTCGACGGCTTGGCACGATCATCGGTGTATTGGGTACAGAATCAGATGGTGTTCGGGGATGCTTGGCAAACATTGCATTCTCTGGAATCGTCCCATCTCCATCTATGATTCAATCGATCAGCACTGATCTTGAGCGTGAAGCATTGATTATCATAGGCAATGCAGAAGGCAGACTTACTCATAACATCCTCCACTGTCCGTTCCAAGTAGAACATGCGGGTTGCCTTATCACGCCGCGTGAACTTGTATGACGCTCGGTGAAACACTTTCAGTTGTTCCATAAATCCCTCATTTGGCCTGCAGAAGCATCCTTATCTGGGCAATTCAGGAACGAGATAAAGGAACTTACTCAACGATGGGCCTCACCGTCCTTATCATGTCTACAGCGCTTTCCGGGTCAAGCTTCAGCGAGTACATGAGGTATGCTGCGACGATCGTTGCGCTCCTGCCTGTGTGATCGGATGTCAAAAATTGATCCGCAAGCAGACTAGCGGAAGAAAGGATGATATCAGTGAGCCGAGCTTGAACGTACTGATTCCAGCCATACAGTGTACGAGTACACCACGACCCTTGTCGAGCTCGTTCTGGATAAATGATATTGATGGCAAAAAGTGCACGAGGACATCTTCATTTGCACTATCGTCAATGTTGATCTGGTACTTGTTAATTGTCTAGAGATGTCTGTATCAGCGTCTGCCTCGGATCCTCTTTCATACATACTAGAGCAAAGGAACCTGAGGGCTTGAAGCGCCAGTGGTACGCACCGCATTAATGGTAACTTTTCCCCGCATCGCTGTTACAATGCTGAAGATGTTTCTCTCCTTCAATCCCTTGACATCCAAAGCGCTCTGGAGATCTCCAATCCAGACTCCTGGTACAACTTGATCCATGGTCACCAATGGTAGATAAATGAGGTAGGCTGTGTAGTGATTGAATCCGCTCAAATTTTCCTGTTAAGACTAGGTATATTATTAGTACTTCGCCGGCGGGGACTCGACCAAGGTTATCATATGCCAACGATGAGGCGAGTGTAAATAATTCAGCAGTCAACTAGGGAACGCGAAGTCAAAGCAAATGAATGAACCACCAATGATTAGTATTCGTCGTAAAACGTCGGAATGGCAATGCTACCAAGTGATCGAGCAGCAGTAATTGTTCATTGAAGGGGTCGAGTCCAAATACATGCAAATAAGCACCTGATCCGGAAAATTCATTGTCAATGCTTTTGTCGGGGATTCACAATTGTATCAGTGCTGCAGTTCTATAGTACAATGCATCGCTGTATATGTTCAGCCTCATTGCCCCGTATAAATATCAAACATGCATTCTTCTCTGAACATTTGACGTTTCTCATCTGTCTCGTCTCAGTCCATACTACTCTTTGATCCTAAATTCGATACCCAAGCAGGTCTTGGGGAACCCTGGTGGACACTTCAGCTAGCTGAACATTTTATTGCTTCGCTCTTCAAGTTGTTGTTCTCATATTTTCCCCCCATGTCTGCATCTGTTCGTCCTACACTCCCCCCGCTTCATACACTTAATCTTCCTCGTGGAGAGATTCGAGACCCCCGCATCGATGCAAAATTGAAACCCCAGGTTAGTTTGGATTTATGATATACAACTTTTACTGAAAGCGCGGTAATTTTCAGATTCCAAGGCTGCACGTGCCCAGCAGTCAATATTCACATTCATGCCAGAACCGTCGGGTTTCTATCTCATCCTCAACGTCTTCTCGCACTCCTTCTCCCACCCCTTCGCCCCCCTCATCTTCGCGTTCCTCTATTTTCGGAAGTCAACCCGTTAAATTTCGTATTGTACCCACCACTTTTGAGCATGCCAACGCAATGATTGTCATTCCTGATCCCGATGCTCCACACGTGCACCCCCTCTCCGGTGCAGTCCTCGAGCAACCTGCACCGAACCTTTTTCTGGTCGGGCCTGCCTTTCAATGCGTGCGCCAGCTACAACGACAAGTAGCCAAGGGGGTACGTCTGCGCCCCTATCGCATTGTGCGTAGTCCAGCGGATCGCAGGTTTTCCATTGCACCCAATACGACCAGTGTCACGAAAATTACAATAACAAGCTCAAGTCCCAAAGAAACGTGATGTATTACTAGCGCCATCATTATTGTATTACTAGTATTCTTTCTGAGAAGTGTAGAGGAAGAGTTGCATTTTAAGTTACAAATAAACTAATGTTCGAATACGATTCACTTGTACTACTAGTTGTAGGAGAGCACTGTTACAATTCGTTGTGTCTGATTCACCTTGATCATCGTGAAGGAGACGGGGGTACGATGCATACGAAAACAAAGGTTTCAATGGCTACGCAGTAAAATTTCTGATACTGATTCACCCTCACTGGAAGTTAGATCTGGTGGAACAAAGGAACAACAATCACATTTTTATGGGGCGTAGCTATTTTGACGCGGTCCTGCCGCGCCTGTCGCGGTCGTGACGTGCCATTCCTATATGTTCTACATTCGACTTCCAGATCAAGTTGGATGAATTCCTTTGTTATTTTATATGCCGTAGGGACATGTACAACTAGGTACATAAGCTAATGACTATTTTCTTTTCCTCCCTCTCTGGACCCTTCGAGCCTGTGGAACATCGACGTTTAACGGGCGGGCATTCTTCAGCCGGCAGAGAAGGAACTCGGCCTTGACACGGTCCTGGTTGAAAAGCACTGTGGAGATCGTTGCAACAGATTCACGGGTACCAGTAAGGCTGTTACGACCAGCAATTTGTGCCGCAGGGCCAGCAGCAGGATTTTCGAAGACAATTTGTTCAAATCTTGTCCGCTCGTCACGAGATAGATGCAAGATGTGGGTTTATTTTGGATGGTGGTGAATGCCCTTGTGAATGTAGTGGACGCCTCCTTTGAATGAATACAACACTGATGTGACGCCGTAGTCGATATGCTTGAGCTGACTACCACAAAGGCACGATGCATCATGTGGGTTGTCCCATGATACCAGCCCTGCGTATCTGTGGTCGTGTGACTACCTCACAGGTAGGTTCATCACAAGTAATGACACCCAGGCAAACACGTCTCGTCTTTTTGCCTTGCGTATTATGAAACATCTAAAATAAAATATACCTAAGTTCTGACAGTGTGACAGTTGAAGTGGTGAGGTTTGACGCGGCATGTGCCACTTGTGACGCGACACTGATGCGGCATGACGCGCACACGGCATGGACGAGGTTTGACGCGGCATTGACGTGGCACGACTTGTTTGACACGGCACTGACGCGCATGTGACGCAGCACTGACGCGACATGTGCTATGGTTGACACGGCACTGATAGTAGGCCTTGAAAGCTTGACGCGGCATAGAGTGTGGATGTTGATATTAGCACAGAGACTGCGAAGATGTTTGGGAGAACTTGTCGTGGTGTGAGTGGTGCTTGACCCAGCCTAAACGAGGCTTCTGACATGCCATGGTTGGGGCTTGAGTCGCTTGACGTGGTGTTGCAGAGTATAGAGAGTAGCTCGAACATGACAGGGTGAGGTCGAGGCTTGATGCAGTGAGACAACACTTGACATGGACACTGCGTCTGAAAACCAACATGGATGAACGCATTAGAGGTAACACAACAATACAGGACTGACGCGCAAGATGCATATGCATACTAGTGTGAACACAGAGGACAAGCACTGTAAATTTGGTGAGAAGTGAATACAGCACTATAGAGCCTGTACGCAGGCAGACACTCATATGTTGATCATTAACGAGGATTCAAAGTGTTTGGAATAATATATGAAGTTGTTTGAACATGATCAATTTGTTACAGTGCCGCGTCACAGGCGCGGCAGCATTTGCTTATGTAACTTTTGGTCAACGAAATAATATCGTTCAGAACGTTCAACGTTCAACATCCATGCCACCCAAAACGCCGGAGGACCCAGAACAAAACCCATATGATCTACTTGAAATCTCACAGGAGGCTACAGAAGCCGAGATTAGGACAGCCTATCGAACCCGTTCACTGAAAGTTCATCCAGACAGAGTACGTCTATTCAATCCAAGATCGAGGGTCTGAGACTAAATTGATATTATTGCAGAACAGAAATGATCCTAATGCAGGTGCGTACCTAGCCATGTTAAAAATGTAGCTAACACATGAATGTAGCCCAGAAATTTCATGCATTGACGACCGCTTCCACCCTCCTCCTCGATCCGCTTCGCCGTCTCGCGCTCGACGCACAACTCCGTCTGCAAGCTGCTAAGAAGCAGCGCTTCGCATCTTATGACAATAAGCGTAAGGCGATGGTCTCTGAGTTGGAGGAGCGGGAGAAAGAATTCAAGAAGGCGCGAATGGCTAAGGAGCAGGAGAGAACTGTGAGGGAGAGTGAAAACATGAGGATTCGTGAGGAGGGGCGACGAATGCGGGAGCAGAGGGAAAAGGAGCTCGAACTGCAGGAATTGGAACGTCAATGTGCGAGGACGAAACCCGAGTCGAATGTCGAAGAAGAATCCCTCGCTCCGCCGCCTCCCAGTGATTTGGATACAACAATCCTTATCAAATATGCACTGTCATCGTATCCTGCGCTTTCTACAGCATCCGCACTCACAGCCCACCTTCAACGGTATGGCGAGATTGATGAAGGGACGGTGGTGATGTCGCAGAAAGCCAAGAAGTCGAAAAAGTCCAAGGGAGTTGTAGATGGCGAGATGATAGTGACCGCACTGGTGCCGTTCAATCAGTTAGGCGCTGCATTTGCTGTGGTATCGAGCGCCGAATCGCTGAAAGAGCGGGGCATGGACGTGGCATGGGCAGGTGGATCTGAGCCTCCGATCCTAGGCTGGCTCCGCGAACGCGGAGAACTTGGAGGACCCGCGGTCAATCGTACCGAGCCGCTCCCGACAAAGCCTACTCCAGAGGGGACGACGTTCGGTTCGTTTCCCTCGAGTTTTGTAAGTCTGGTTCACTCAGTCTATCTATTCGGACCACTGATTCTCCTGTTTGGCAAGCCTGATGTGGCACCGCCACCGCCACCTGCTGCAAAGGCGGGGATAGACTATGAGTCGTTGACGCTCCTCCGTATGCGTGAAGCTGAGCGTGCACGCTTAGAGAAAGAGATACTGGAAGCAGAAGCTGCTGAGGGCGGCTAGTCTTTCTTTGCTCGCTGAGCATATGATGTCTTCTGACATCGAACGTTTTGTCGCGATCTCAATTTCTGGTGTGAGGTCTAGAGCACCCTGCGCCCTTGGCGCCCTTGATGCTTCTCGTGGGTAGTAACGAGGGACTACGGTGGAAGGCTAGAGGCATGTATGCATATTCCATTTTACATCCATGAGATTAATTTATTGCATTCTCAAGAAGTTGATCGGGCTGACCTTTGAAACGTGTATGTATTATGGCGGTGTTCATGTATCCGTAGTCTGATCGTTGTATCCAGCTGAAATGTTTGCACCAGATTTCAAGCAGGTCTACAACAAAGTTCTTTCGGACGCTTGTCCTCGCTGCAGTTGAATATAAAAAATGACCCAATCCTACAGGTCGATGAGGGAAAATGCTCTACAATGCAATTTTTACATGCCGGGCTGAGTATGACATCGGTTGACGATGTGGATTCGGATACTACTCAAGAATTGATTGATTGGCTCATTCACTCTATTTTTTTCCGGCTACATTCGAAATTATCACCAGGAAACGATCTATACACTTTCTAGTTCAACAAACCCCAACACAACCTTATGGAAATCTATTAGACAACCAGGTTCGTGCAGTGTCGACTATCGAAACCTTTCCTGGGCTGATCGTATGCGGTGGCGCATCAGATATTTCCCGAGCCCCCAGCGCTACATAGAACTGCGGCAGTATCAGCATGTCTACGATAAGTAAGACCGTCATAGCGAGTCCATGTCGATACCAACCCTGACAGTCCCCACAGCATGAGGACAGTAATTTTGCTTCCCTCCGGCTCCACCGGGAAAACGCCTTCATGTGTGGCTTGAACTCACAAAGTGAGATTCAGGTCTACTAGTACCTGCACATGCCAGACGGCCCGTGTGGCAGTGGCAGGGTTCAAAGAACCAATGTGGGATTTCAAAATGTGACGCCCATCGCTGATGTGAAAGCTAGACCATTCAGTACAAATCAAAGATATCTCAGAGTATTGTATTTGGCTGCGGTCCTCATTTTTACCACTGACTTCATGGTACATACCATGGGACGTTTTGCGGCTTCAAGCATGCGTAGAACCTATCTGTTACATCTCCCAACCCGCGAACCCGGGCCAATCTTACTGATTGAAGGATCCTCACCTTCCTGGCTTCCTGATCAGGGTGGCAACACGAGGCTCCAGGGACTATCAAGCCTTATTAATACCGTGGGTCTCATCCATCAGATGCAGGCGTTATGCAGTAATTTCTGGCGCAGTAAGCGCCTGCCACTGCTCAAGAATTATCGCGGTAATCCTCTGGCCAGACGACAAGACCTCCGATGTGCTATCAGTTATCAGTCTTCAGTCTTTGGTCATCATGTAATCAAGGTTATGGCATACGAGGTATCGTTTTGAAGCCAAGTACGTACACGGCGCTTCGAGCTTCGAGCTAGCTCGATGATAAACCACCTGTTTTTAAATGGGTGCTGTGATTCGGGACAAAGAACCGAAAAATACAAGCGCATGCTTACCGCATGGAGGTCGCACGCAGTATTCTGGCCTCTATTTTGATCTCACCGCTGCCGCATCGACTTGTTCGCTCCCCACTGCGATCTGTATTAAAGCGAGCAGAAGGGTTGGAAAACTGAAAGCTCTATAGTTGTCACATTGTCAAGAGTTTCTGCCGCAGGCAGCCATTACACAAATCCAAGCCTGCCCTCTTTCTCCAAGCGAAATGAGGTTGATTCCCTCAAGTCAGCAACATCTCGGGTGAGATTTACCCAACGCCCACAATGTGTGATATCTGAGGTTTTAATCGGTGTAGCTCCCATCTCCACCATGAAGAGACAGATTCGAGCTCCAACAAGTTCTCCATTCAGACGGCATTCAACATAACTGCCCTTCAACAAGTCAATATTACCATGTGCGATTTACCTATCATTTAGAATTGACGGACTTACATGCAATGACAGGACCAGCCAGTTGGCACCAGATATGTATGGCGTCCAAGTTTTTGGCAAGTTTTTATAACCTCATGTCATAGCTACTCAGTTCTGATGAATCCCAGATATCGATCTTCATCGCCTGCCCAACATCGGGTGGTTGAATGTGGACCATCAATTCTATGTCAAAATATCCATTGATGATGAGGGCATGACCAGTCGTACGACGCCGGAGAAACACAGCTCTATGCCATGGAGTAGTAAACATATCTTGTACGTCGGACACTACTGCTTGATTCAAAGGCTGATTCAAAGAGCAGCAATGTTCGCAACTCTACCAAGCTCACATTGGAAGTATTTGCACATCGCCAACTTCACGATGATCAGTACATTGGTATGGTCCAGGGTTGTATTGAGGAATTTTTGAGGTACCCTGGCTGTGAGTCACTGCAATCTTGTACACTATATTTATTGACAGTTCAATTCAGCCATTCTTGAACAACTGAAGTACGTGAACCTCGAAGGCAAGACAGAGCTGCTCAGGGCGAGCTTGGAGTTCAAGCTTACTCCTATTGTGGGCGCTGGAAGACCTGCTGGTGGATCCCACCTTACCGAAACCGGTCACAGCACAGGTATCTGGAAGTGGCCAATAGCGAGTGATGGCTATTGGGGTGCTGTCGGGACACCATTTCCTCCGGCAGTGCAAATATCTCGTACGTGATATTAATTCGAATGACGGTCACTCTTATAATTTGTGTCGATCAGACATAGACCTGCACCATCTGCCGCGAATCAGTTTGTTTTCGGCTCACGATAGCTTCTATGTCCAGGCTTCTGTAGATGACCATGGCCACAAGACCACCACTGCTGAGAAACCGCATTCCTTACCATGGACGATGGAGCTAAAACTGTGAGATACATTGTACCCGCGAGTTCGTGACATTAACTCCTAGCAAGAAATGTACAGCCGTCGTCCATAATTTCCCTCAAAGTCTTCGCAAAACGTTATCTCCATGGAGATCAGTACATTGGTATGGTACAAGAAGGTGTCGAGACGCTTCTCGCTCATTCCAGCAGTGAGTTTCTGGTACTATCTGATTGGCTCGCTCGTCGTTGAATACAACATTAGCTAAAATCTACCACCTCGTGTCTTTTGATGGTCATGGCAAGAAAATTTTCCTTGATGCTAGCATGGAATTCAAGATCAAACCTCTTCATAATACAACGGACCATAGAACCACTCAGCACGGTAAAGGCCAGCTCACCAGGATAATCGACGACTCCAAGGATGCACCACATATGTCGGCAATGGGAGGTCATGATCTAAGCGAACCATTGAAAACGGCTGCTGAGCAGGTCGCCGGTGTTGTTGCCTCAGAAGTCCTTACTCCGCTCTTGGACAAGATCAACATTTTCATTCAGCTTGCTGGCAAGTTCGCTGAGGTACAGTCCCTGGAATTTGCCACTGAATATGTCTGATACCGTTCCGTAGGCCCATCCTTACACCAAAATGGCGTTCATGGTTCTCACTGCAGTATATCAGGTAAGTGGGATAGTCACATGTTCCGACCTAAGGAGCTCACCTGTTTTGATTAGTTGGTGGATGCGCAATTTGCCCGAGACCGAAATATTCGTCAGCTCATTACTATTATGCACGAAACCTACAGCCTTCTCTCTGGTGTAGAAGAACTGAAAAGGATGGAATCGCAAGCAAAGACTATCAACTCCCTCGCTCGTCAGACGATCGAGTGCTCGTACTTTATTCGTGACTATCTGCAGAGAAGGAGTGGGTGTGAGTTTCGCAGCTTCTTACCAAAGTTTGGCATTTTTTAACAAAATTCTTAAATGTAGGGAAACAGAGCTTTTCAAACGCGTTATCCGACATCGATAATAAAATTCAAACGTACGAAGCAACGTTCAAAGAACTCAGGAATGCCATACAACAGCAGGCCACGATTAATACGCAACTCTTTGTCCTTCGTGTTTATGATGTGTTGCTTGACCATGGTAGTGTTCCATCTTCCCTCTCATCCTTACACGTGTTCATATTACTACTAGCCGCGAAAGCAGACCTTGACGCCCTGCATTATGCTATTGGCGCTTCGATTGAATCACAGAAGATCGGAGATGTGTCTTCACAGACCGATATCCTGGAGTCGATAACTTCATGGGTCAATCAAGACGTTGGACAGCAGATCTACCTCTTGCTAGGTCCAAAGGGGTCTGGAAAATCCACTATCGCATATACCATTGCACGCCAATTCGACGCCATTGTGCGTCTCGGTTCATCGTACTTTTTTTCGCGCGCTTTCCAGGACAAGCGAAACGCTACGAATTTGTTTAGCACGATTGCACGGGACCTCGCTGATCACGACCTTCAATATATGAAGGCTCTCTGGGACACCGTGAAAGACAAGCGCGCATTACGTGAAACGATCGACCCACTTACTCAGTTCGATCGCTTTATCCTTAGTCCTGCGAGTCAAATGACATACATCGGCCCTGTGCTAGTGGTCATCGACGGGTTGGAATACAGCGGTGGCGAGTCAGATCGTAAGGACCTCCTGACTGCGCTCGCAGTGAAAGGAGCAGAGCTCCCCCGTAATTTCAAGTTACTGGTCACCTGCCGCCCAGAGCAGGACGTTTGCGCTGCTTTCAAAGGAAAATCTCATGTTATACAGAAGCATTTGAAACATCGCGTCGACTCACTCATGATTCCGCCATTAACATTGAGGCAAAACCAGACAAGCAGGTCTAGGTCTCGCCCTCCCACCCCTCCTTTATTCATCCCTGATTTTGCGCAATACAACCCTTCACCTCTGGCTGACTCGTCGATGACCGGCACAAGTGACTCCACTCCGATATCGGATGTCTCGAGTTCAGACTCAGCAGTCTCCACTGTGTTTGACCCCTGGGATGACGGCTGTGATTCTACCGAGTCCCCTCCTTCCAGTACCAGATCCGTTTATGAGGAGCCACAGCCTTCAAAAAAGAAGGCTGTTGTACAAGTTACACGCAGGAGTGAAGAGTTCATCACTGTAGAGCAGATCTCCGCGACAGGCGGCCGTACCATTAGAGGAACCAATTTGGAGAAGCACGATAACTGGATCGTCGAGCAGCATGATCATTCTCAAAGTGGTCTGCTACTTAAAGAACTAGGATTCGTCATATCAGCAGAGCCGACGAATGATTTGGCGCCAATACTTGGATCATGCAGTAGTCGTCTCCCCAAACGACCTCGCCAGAAGCAGGTCCGAGCAAAGACTCTTGTCCGTCATTCCACGAGTGTGGATGGGGCGGAGATACCGGGTTGGGATGATGATCTCGCATGTCGGTGATATCACATCTGTCTGCAGTGCTATGTATATAGAAATGTAATATGGTCGTCACTCCACTAACCTCGACGGCAGATGCTATGCTATGCGACCCCTACGTGCAATGATCAAACGACTGTTACTGCGCAATGTTCTAGTCTTGGCCCTCCGCTACATCTGTTGTATGTACTTCTACATCCAAACCGTCAATATTTACAATCTGCATCACCTCCGCGTCCAACTTATACCATAACATCTTTCGGGTTCGCCGCCACATTCACCGTTGCGCAATGGTATGCGTGCGGGCCTTGAAGTGATTCATCTTTACCGACTCTGCCGCGCCACCATGCTGTTGATGATTTTTCATAATATTCCTGAAAAACCTCGTCGGTCACGCACGTCGCAGTGCAGTATATGTAATTTGCGAAATGATGGGGCCGCTGTTTGGGGGAAAATTGGCTACACGTTTACCGGTGACCTAATCGTGGAAGAGTATCGTTTGGTCGACCATCGTAGGACTGGCATGGCAGAAGTGACTGGAATCCCCCTAACGTTTGATACCGGCGTCTTACCGTGACAGATTTCCAGAATAGCGTAGTAGTTTTTGATCAGGGTCATCGGGACTTGGGGGTGGTGTTTTAAGTTAAGGTTCGTTCGAGTTCTCAGGAGCAAATGTGGATTACTAAGCCATTATTATCACGTTTTGTGACCAAGAAGGTCGTCGGTCTACCCAGGGGACTGCAAGACCTTTAGCTTTGAGGACAGAGTTCTGGGATCACTAGGTGGCGTTGCACGACATGCTTTGACGAAACGTTTAAACTGAAGTTACTCATAAGTCTCCGACTCAGCCGTATCGCATGTGGTTATAGCTCACTAGCACTATTGATTAATCCTTACACGAAGCGCCACTCAATAACGCCTTCCGAATTCGGGCCTGTCCGGTACTATCTCGTATTTTCACTGACTGAAAATAGTTGCCATGCTGAAATTTGAGGCTCCAAATCTACGACGAGTGTTTACCAGGCCGTACATGTACTCGCTCGTCAAACTATAGAGTGTGCATACTTCATTTATGACTTGCCGTTCATAAAAGTGGATGAAAGAAACCTATGTCACAAACCCACGTCACTGAGGTTTCGCACTGGATAAATGACAAGAACTTAACGGTCCACCGATTTATCTCTTTATTGTGCCTCTTGGATCCGAGACCAGCGTAGTTGCCCTACTGTAGCTCATCAATTCGATAACATATGTCGAGAACCGTCATACTGTTTTGGCAGAATACGTCAAAGAAAGCCCGCCAATCTGTTTAGCACAAT